CAAGGGGCAGGCTTGCTTTCAAATAACTGAGAGAGTGTCTTGGCTTTCCATGCCTTTTTACACCTCCCTTTCTTCATGTGTTCAATACTTTTTCCCTGTGCCATTCCACATTATTACAAATAACTTCATTTCTGGACATTTATGGTTTGATTTCTTTGTATGTATGGATCACTTAGGTTGTTACCGACATCTGGTGAAAATTTCATGTCATTAGCGCCTCTAGTAATATATTTACTGAGAAAAATGTTGACGTGTTCAATACTTATTTTACCCTCTGTATATTCTTTAGTCATTTTTTTAAGAACAGTTATTTGTCACATTTTTATTGTTATTTACAGGTTAATCCAGGACATTTTCACATCCTTTAAAGTAGTAAAATATATGCAAAAAGTAAAGTTTAAAACACAATGCTTGTAGTTTCATTCAAGTTTATTGCACCATAATTTTTCTCCCTCATTTGGGAACAACAAAATAAGACTCTTGTGATAGTGCATTCTCTCCCAGAGGAGGGTAACACAAACTACTGATTTACACCTAAAACAACCAATATTACAATGAATCAGATCATTAAAAAACAAATAAACTTTACTTTAGAGATAGTCATGCTGAGTAGGTCTGAAGCTAACTGAGTTATAAAGATGTTTTTATTAAATATAACTGTACATTTAATGACTGTACATTTACAGACAAACCAACATTTTCACATTTTGTCATGATACAACACAAACTTCTGTTTTACTGAGATTTTGTGAAAGAAGCAGCTCATAATTGTGAAGGTGAAAGAAAAGGATCCATGATTTCATGATTAAAAAAAAAGTCAAATCTGAAAAGTTGTTTGTGCATTAATATTCACCCCCTTCATTCTGATAGCTTCAACTAAAATCCTCCTCCTTCAGAAGTCAGCTGATCAGTAACACCTGTTTGTTGTTCAATCTGAGTTTGAATCCAGATGTTCTGCCAGACCCAGGGGTTTGAGTTTAAGTTATAAAACAATTTTGAATATCTCACACCACTTTGTTCAATCCATCTTCTGAAACTGGAAAGAGTACAACACAACTAGACCTACCAAGACATGACGGCCCACCTGAACTGACAGAGATGGGAGAGCGGGAGTCCAGAAGAAGCTCATGGTAACTCTGGAGGAGCTGCAGGGATCCACAGCTCAGGTGGGACAATCTGTCCACAGGACAATTATTAGTCTCCACAAACCTGTCCTCGGTGGAGGAAGGATGAGACGGACGCTGCTGTTGACAGAACGTCAGGACAAGCTCTGCTTGAAGTTTGATTGTAAACTTTTCTCCATCCAGTTTGACTAACTTTGAGCTGTTCTATAAAGAAAGGGCAAACGTTTTCATCTCCAGATGTGAAAAGCTTGTAGACACAAAAACTCTAAAAGACCTGAGAAAAGCAGATCTACAAAGTGCTGACTTAGCTGGGGTAATCCAAAAGCACAACAAACTTTTCTCTTATTTTTCTGAAAGATGTTAAAAACCATGGATCATTTTCATTTAACAACTGTATTCTACTTTTTGCTAGTCTACCAGATAAAACGCCATTAAAATACTTAGTGATAAAACAGGAAAAAAAAATCCAGGTGAGTAAATCCTTTCTAAAAGCTGTCAGATCAAAGTGATTCTTTCAGATGAGTCAGGTGTCGAGGAGCCACACTGAGGTCAGAAAAATATTACCTCTGCTGCTCTGCCTTCCCATTGGCTGCAGACTTCTCCTCCTCTTCCTGTCTTCTCTGTCTCTTGAAGAAGCCGAGCTGAGACCACAGACAGATTTATAGATTTACAAATCACATAAACCCATTAAAAAACAGAAGAAGAAAACAAAAATCAATTTGATGGCAGCGGCACATTTTAAAAAAGCAGTGACATGTTTCCCTCTGAAACAGCTCCAAACATTTACCTGAGACCAGTTCTGATGGTTCTGGAGGAACTGAGACCTGTTGTTGGTTTTCCACTTTGTTTGGGTTTATGAGATTTTTAAATTATCACAGTCTGTCTTAGTCATATTTTACAAATGTTACTTTACCTCCAACTGCTGACATAATGAACTAGTAATTAGTTTATAACCAATATGTGTCATATTAGGGTGTTAGTATTGTTGCAGAATCCTCTGGTCCTTTATCAGAACGTTCTTTGCAAATAAAGCATTTATCATGAACAAAGTACCACCTTAGTTCAATTTATTGTTTTTAAATATCTACTTAGACGTTGTAAACAGATGTTGTAAATTGATACAATAAACAGATGTTGTAAAGAGGTGTAGTGAACAGATGCTGTAAACAAATGTTTACCTTCCAGAGACCCAGCACCAGTAAGGATAGGAGCAGCAGGCCTCCCAGAAAACTGCCCAATATAATCCAGAATGGGATGGAAGTCTTTCCCTCCTTCGTTACATCCAGGATTATCTGCAGTTATTTAAAATAATAGTATTGGGTCATTTTAAACTCAGTGAAGTTAAGTTTAAGGTCTGAAAATCATCATTAACTTTATTTATATAATGTTTTAACACCAGTCACAGCAGAAACAAAGTGCTGAACATCAGCGACAAATAAGATAAAGTGACAAAGCTGAACACAATGACTTAAAAAATCTAATTCAAGACATAAAACAACACAGTTTAACAATTAAAATCTATTCCAATAAAAGTTGAATAAAATCAAGTCTTAGTCAAGTTGAAGGCTAATGAATAAATATAAGTTTTTAAAAACGGACTGTAACGGGGCGTGTCGAACATGCAAATGCAGAGTGTTCCATAAAACTCAGGGCACTAACAGAGAAAGCCCCGTCTCCTCTAAGCTTCTAGAACTGAGAATGACCAGTCATGAAAAGGTTACTGTTTCTGCTCCTACAGTTCTGAGGTTTTACATCCTGAGACATAAAACACATTTTGTTTTTATCAGCTGATTTAAACCTAACCTGACGTAAACAAAAACACCAAGCAGATCCCATCAGGCTGTTTAATAAACGATGACGAAGTAAAATGTAAAAACTGTGTAAAAAGCCTGTCAGCCTCTGTGTTAGTTTGTTCTTTATAGCACGTGTCAAACACAAGGCCCGCGGGCCAAATGTGGCCCGCAGGTGACTCCCGTGTGGCCTGCTAGGTAACCCCCCCTCCAAAAAAAATTATTACTTAGCATGAAATTTGTTTCTTCAATCAATGGTAAACTTTAAATTTATGATTAAATGCAACAAAATAAATTTAATAAAAATAAATGAATTAAAAATAAATTTAATAAATTCCTGTCCCTGAGCTGTTGGCTTTAAGTAACTGAGCAATTTAGTTGGATAGCTCAGTATTAATGTCTGAAAATAAGCTGCTTAAAATCAGCATCAACAATAAACTAAATAATATTTCTGTATTTATTTCAGATTTAGTCAGTCGTAAACTTAGTTTTTATCAGTGTTTAAAAGAGGACGAGTTAAAACTCTGTTTAGTCAAAGTTAAACATGAAATGTCAAAGTTCATTACAAGTGGCCCTTCGAGGGCCACCATAACGCTCGTGTGGCCCTCGGTGAAAATGAGTTTGACACCCCTGCTTTATAGGATCAAGATAAAAGACAGAAGCAGAAAAAAGGCTTCTTTATTGTTTTAGTTTATGACATCAAATTATAGATATAGATATAAGTACATAAATAAATATAGCTGAAGGTATTGCCTGTTTTCAGGTGTTTGTTGAACAGAGGTAGATGTTAAATATTCTTTAATCCATCGGTCTTGTTATAAATCCTTCCTTAGGTAAAGTGAAAAAGTTCACTTGTTTATTGTGGCTCATTTATCAGGCTGTAATCAGTCTGTTACAGGTAATCTGTGTTCAAACAGATTTTGTTCCTTCTTTAAGATATATATTTGTTTTCACAGTCAGTCAAAGTCCTACCTGTCTAACAAGCCTGTCCTCCTGCAGGAACATGGGACCAGATGTCTCCAGCTGGACCGAGGCCAAGGTCAGCAGTTCCAGAGACTTGAAGCTTACCTGTGATGCAGATCACATGAAATCTGTTCAAGTTACAAGAATATTAATAAGATCAAAGTTTGCTTGGTGATGAAAGACCTGCTCTTTTGTGATTTTTTTTACGAGAAATGACGTCATCCTGTTTTCTGACATATTTTGAATTTATTGTCTTTACATAGGACACAGAACAACACCCATGTATGAAACGTGTGATAATAACATAATAACTATTTCCTGTTTTATGGACAGAATTTAAAGTTTGAGGTCTAGCCACTCTTACAAGCTATGACAATGCCTTGATAGTCAAGGGATAAAGAAATTATGTTAAACAGAAGGAGGTAAAACAGGAAGTAAACACCCTATTTTAAAAGACAGACAGTGGAGGACGACATAAAAAACATATAATAAACTACGTGATAAGGATGACAGACAAAACAGCAAAATATTAAACCCTGACATAAAACAAAAGATGACAGAGTAGGAAATACAACAGTGTATTTAATGACAGATGGTAAATTAGGAAATAAAGACAGGGCTTTCATTGATAAATGTTAATGTAGGAAATAAAAATGAGGCATCAATGACAGACTGTAAAGTAGGAGATAAAAATGTGGTGTTTAATTACAGGCAATAGAGAACGAGACAAAGATTTCAGACGGTGGTCTTCTTATGGACTTTCAAACTTGAAGCTGAATTTGAGTCTATCTTAAATAAGAAAATTATTTGCTGCCGAACCTCTCCCTGGATTGTCACCTTATCGTGGTGGAGAGGTTTGAGTGTCCCAATGATCCTGGGAGCTATGTTGTCAGGGGCTTCATGCCCCTGGTAGGGTCACCCAAGTCAAACAGGTCCTAGGTGAGGGATCAGATAGAGTGCAGCCCTAAGACCCCTAATGATGAGTGCCAACATTGGATTCAGTGTTCCCTCACCAGGACGCGGGTCACCGGGGCCCCACTCTGGAGCCAGGCGTGGAGGTGGGGAATGTTGGCGAGCGTCTGGTGGCCGGGCTTTCTCCCATGGAGCCCGGCCGAGCACACAGCCCAAAGAGGAGACTTGGGTCCCCGTTCCTATGGGCTCACCACCTGTGGGAGGGGCCATGGGGGTCGGGTACAATGTGCAACGAGCAGTGGTCGAAGGCGAGAACCCTGGCTGTACGATCCATGGCTACATAAGCTGGCTCTAGGGACGTGGAATGTCACCTCTCTGGTGGGGAAGGAGCCTAAGCTGGTGTGTGAGGTTGAAAGGTTCCGACTAGATATAGTCGGACTCACCTCAACGCACTGCTCTGGCTCTGGAACCAGTCTCCTCGAGAGGGGTTGGATACTCTTCCACTCTGGAGTTGCCCATGCTGAGAGGCGCCGAGCTGGAGTGGGCATACTTATTGCTCCCCATCTCGGTGCCTGTACGTTGGGGTTCATACCCCGGTGAACGAGATGGTAGCCTCCCTCCACCTATGGGTGGGAGGACAGGTCCTGACTGTTGTTTGTGCCTATGCACCTAACAGCAGCTCAGATAATCCACATTTTTGGAGTCCTTGGAGGGGGTGCTGGAGAGCGCTCCTAAAGGGGACGCCCTCGTTCTGCTGGGGGACTTCAACGCTCATGTGGGTAATGACAGTGAGACCTGGAGGGGCGTGGTTGGGAGGAACGGCCCCCATGATCTGAACCCAAGCGGTGTTTTGTTACTGGACTTCTGTGCTCATCATGGATTATCCATAATGAACACCATGTTCAAACATAAGTGTGTCTGTATGTGCTCTTGGCAAAAGAAGGCAAAGCTCTTGGTTTACTGATTGGTCTATGTTCCTACCCTCATCTATGGTTACGAGCTTTGGGTAGTGACCGAAAGAACAAGATCGTGGATACACGTGGCTGAAATGAGTTTCCTTTGCAGGGTGTCTGGGCTCTCCCTTAGAGATAGGGTGAGAAGCTCAGTCATCCAGGAGGGACTCAGAGTAGAGCCGCTGCTCCTCCACGTTGAGAGGAGCCAGTTGAGATGGCTCGGGCATCTGCTTAGGATGCCTCCTGGATGCCTCCCTGGTGAGGTGTTCCAGGTATACGTCCCACTGGGAGGAGACCCAGAGGAAGACCCAGGACATGCTGGAGGGACTATGTTTCTCAGCTGGCCTGGGAACAGCTTGGGATTCCCCCCGACAAGCTGGCCCAAGTGACTGAGGAGAGGGAAGTCTGGGTCTCTCTGCTTAGGCTGCTGCCCCCGTGACCCGACCCAGGATAAGTGGAAGAAAATGGATGGACGGACATTTGTTGTAGAAATTGGTTTTGAAGTTTGTTTATCCTACATGAACAACCAAACAGTACTTCCTGCAGTCAGTAAATGGTTGTGACCAGCATGGAGCTTCCTGAGGAGTTTATTTTGCTGACTTTGTAAAAACCTGTATTTTGTTGTAACTTACAGTGAGCAGAACAGGGAGCTGAAGTCTTCCTGTGATGGTGACCTTTACCAGTCCTGAGGGTGACAGACTGAAACTGCAGCTGACTTCTATGTTCTCACTGTTGCTGGAGTTCTGGACACAGATGTGTATTGAGTTTACTACATACACATGGAGACTATAACAGGTCATATCTCCAGTAAAGAAAAGAAAAGAATAAATGTGATGGTCTTACCAGCTGTGGCAGGTGAGACAGGTCTTCTTGTCTTTTAAAGCTGGGTGTTTCAAGTTCAGGCAGCAGGCAGGAGGACTCAGCCACTTCCTGACAGGTGAGTAAATGAATGGAGGTATCCTTGTGTTAATCAAGTTAATCAGGTAGTCTGTCCATCTGTCCCTCCATCCATCCATCCATCCATCCATCCATCCATCCATCCATCCATCCATCCATCCATCCATCCATCCATCCATCCATCCATCCATCCATCCATCCATCCACCCATCCATCCATCCAACTATCCATCCATCCATCCATCCATCCATCCATCCATCCATGCAGTGTACCTGCTGGATGCTGTAGTTTGTGATTTCCACCAGCTGGTTCCCCTGCTGAGTCACAGCCCAGATATCTGTCTTGAATAGGATGTTCTCCACTGAAAATGAGCCCAGGTTCTGAATCTACAAGCAAAGTTTAAAACATAAAAATAAACTGTTCCTCTGGGGTAGATAAGAAAAAATGGAGCAATAACTCTATGTAACGGTATAATGCACTTCTGCAATTATACTGGACATGTTCACATTTAAAAATCACTCAGCTTTCGAATATGTTCAAATTGTCAATCGGCATAATCCCTATGTTGATGTAAATATAACTACAGCCTCTCAAGTGTGTCCTGGGTCTTCCTCAGGGTTTCCTCCCAATCTGACATGTTTGAAGCACCTCTGTAGGGAGGAATCCAGGATGTATCCTTACTAGCTGAACCTCTGGATGTGGAGGAGCAGCAGCAGTCTCTCCTGAACTAAACTTCTCAGCCTTTCTCTTAGGGAGAGTCCAGCTACCCTGCAGAGAAAACTAATTTGGACCACCTGTATCTGCAGTCTTGTTCTTTCAGTCACTACCCAAAGTTTGTGATCATAGGTGAGCATAAGAACATAGACTGCCAGTAAATCGAGAGCCTCTCCTCACAGCTCAGCTCTCTCTGAACCACAACAGAACGGTACAGAGTTCACAAAACTGCAGAAACTGCACCGATATGTCTGTCGATCTCACACTCCATTCTTCCCTCACTATGAACAAAACCCCAGAACACTTGAACTCCTCCACTTGAGGCAGAACCTCACACCCAACCTGGAGAACAATCCACCCTTTTCTAACTGAGAACATGCTGGTTCTCCTCCCAGCTCACACCATCACATTATCTGCAAATAGCAGCAGTTTAATTCTGAAGCCACTAAATCAGACTGATGGTTTGCCAGAATCTCCTCTGAGCTAATCGAGAATCTTTATCCAAGGCCTCACCAAATTCCTCCCACATCCGAGCTTTTGCCTCAACAACAACAAGGACTGTGGCCCGCTTGGTCTGCCGATACTCCAATAGCACTCCTTCTGTTTGACAGTCTCCGTAATCCAAGGTATCCACCACCGAGTTTAAGGAAGGCCACCACAAGAAGCACCTTGTGCCACCTTTGCAGCCCCAGTTCAAGGCAGCTGCCTCAACAATCGAGGAGCAGAACATGGCTCACTCTGACTCAATGTCCCCCGCTCTTGGCTGGGATGTGGTAAAGTTTTCTTGGAGGTGTGAGCTGAAGATCTTTCTGATGAGTTCTTCTGCCAGGTGTTCCCAGCAAACCTTCACTAAATGTTTGGGTCTACCGGGTCTGCCTGGCATCTTCCCCTACCATCTAATCCAACTCAGTTGACTGCTCAGCTCCTCTCTTCACAGAGTGGGCTTCCGTATAAACGACTGCAGATAAGATAACACAACTACAAAGTCAATCATCTACGACCTAGGATATCCTGGTGCTAAGTGCGCTTATGAACACTCTGATGTTCAAACATGGGGTTTGTAACCACATTTTCCTTAAAATTTGTAGTACCGTAATTTGTTTGATGTTCTGAACTTACATAATAAGTGAGGTTGAAGACAGGAAAGCTGGTGTCTGTTTGATCCAATAATGAGGACGAGTCAGCTTTGATTTCAAATCGAGGAGGGTTGGGGTCTCTGTGAGGAAAGGATGGGTCAGAGCAGGCAATTATGTACTTCTATCTGTAAGATCATTATCAAGATCAATCAAATTAAACTTTGAATTACAGACTCTTACACTTATTTTAGAGGGCAGAAGCAATCATCATCCTTTAATTTTTTTGTTTAAAATAAATATTGATTTAAAATCTGTTATCGTTTAATTCAAAAAGTTTGTCTTTTTCTAAATCTTTTCTATCCCAATGTTTAACAGTTGTTCATTAAAAAAAACAGCATTCAGTATGAGAACTTGTAGCACGCTTTCTTTGTCAGTGGTTGAGAAAAGCCTTCCTCACCTGGTGAAGAGGAGGTTAGTTTGATATCTTAAAGGGAGGAAGATGTTGTTAATGTTGTCATCGGGGTATCCCTCCTCTCCTTCACTGAGTAAAACACAAATAAAGATGTCAAAGAATATTTTATTATAATTAAAGGTCTGGAATTCAATGCATATCACCTACTGAAATTCATGTCTGAGTTTCAAGTTAAGGTCATTTTATAAGAAATTTAGTTGTTTGTCAAATCCTGTAAATCATTTGGTTCCAGTATTTAAAACTAGACGTGCAGATGACCAGTCCTTTACCTCTTCATCCTCTAATTACTCCTCAGTGCTCACACCATGTCCAGTTTCTCTTCTTCATGTACCCTTCATGTGCTTCTGCACTGACAAAGTATCACTACACTGGGCCTCTTCTTTCCCTACATGAAAGAACTTTTTCACTCTGACTATAGTTCCAGCAGTGACTTTGGTTGTGTTACTTTCTCCATTCTTGTAACATGCTCGTTTGGCTTAATTGGCGTAGAACCACTTTTTTCTAGTATGGTCGTACTGTTCATTGTCCTCAAGTGAAGGCATTGTGTTCAGTTTTGTCACCATGAGTCTTCCTCTGAGAGGATTCAGCAGTTGTGTCATGAGGTGAAGCCTGTAGAGTAACTGCAGACTTCTAGGTTCACCATGTGACTTGTGAAGAATAAAGTCTTTTAGCATTTTATTAAAGCTTTCAGCACATCAGTTTGCCTGAGGACGGTAAACACTTGTGTTGATGGGCTTAATGTCACATTCACTCTTGATGCGTATCAGCAAGAAGAAACAGAAGATCCAAAATGTGATTAATTATCAGTTGTGTGCAGTGCAAGGGTTTTCTTCATGTGCAAAACTGAAAGATTTATGGCATGGTAGAGGTAAAAACCAGCCCCTTGTTCTTGGTTTTACTTCATTCAGAGGGTCTGAACTCTCTGCTATTGAGAAATGATTGCTTGCCGTAGGCGTGCACCAGCTTAACCGTGAAGGAAGCTAAGCTAAAAAGCTAATCGGAAATTGCGTGCACTGTAAACAACCATCCTCTACTGTGAAGAAAAAAGAACTGAGCTGAATGAGATGGCTGTAAATGAGCGCTGCAGGCTTTGTGAGACAATTTTAATTTAATTTGGAAGCCTTGTCAACACGACTGAATGGCTTCATTCACTTCCTCCACTGCCATTGCTAAACTACAGGCAGACAGCGAAGAAAATCTACATCATCGTTCACAACTCCTCCTTCTATTTGTTGATTGGCCCAGTTGAAATTATACCTGAGAAATCCTTGTGACTGGGAGAAATCCCAGATGGTACAGGGAAGGTTAGAATTGAGCAGATAGGAAGACAATGGCCAGTATCAGTGGCAGATGCTGGTCTTTGAAGGAGGGGAAGCTCAGTTTCGGCCTACATCATAAAATGTGTCGCTTTATACAATTAAAAAATGCTCCCACGGATGTTTACACCAAAAGATCGCTGATTCGCTCATTTCGCTGTCAATCACAAAGGGATCCAGCCTCCGACAGATCATCTAATCATCATGCAGAACAGAAACTGAGCGTCCGGGCCAGCCGAGGCCAGCCCACTGCCCCATAGACCCCCAGAGACACTGAGCGTCCGACGGGCAGGACAACGCCAGCATTTATCCAATGACGTCTTGCTTCACTGCACTCTCTGCTTCGCTATTGAACTCTGTTTAAAGCACTGTGAAGCTGTGGGAATGAGTGAGAGGAAAGCTGCGTCGTTACCRGTGATAAGAAGCTGATTCTGAACAAAAGTTGAGCTCATTGTAGTGCATATTTAGTCAATGACATCTACACACAACAGTATATATATTTGATCACTTGGTTTTTGACATTTTAGGGGAATCTGAGCTTCCCTTGCAGTCAGAGCAATCACCTCTGGTCAGTATATGTTTGTGGTAACATCAGAAACACATGCTTCTTTGAAATATTCAACAAAAATGATGGTAAACCTGCATTCATACACTCCATGTTCAAATGGACCATTAATGGCGACAGCAATAAGTTGACATGGACAGTCTGGAAACCTGACATGTTGTAATGGGACAAGCAGGGACTAGCAGTTTTGTTACAGGCCTGACAGTGCTTGATGACAGGACTCTGTAGACCAAATCATCCATATGTGGCCGGCCACCAGTGAAGCTCTCTGAGGCTTTATTTAATGTGTGCCCTGGTGTTTTTATCAGCCAGGTGGACAAACGTTTCTCACCGAGACGCAGGAACTATGAGACGTTTTCCTCTAAATATCAGTGTTGACAGAAACCACCTCATGACGAGGTGAGGTCTGACTTCTTCTGGAAGGGTTTTTTCCCAGTAGGACTTCCTAAGTAAATGATTTGCCACAGCTTCGTAAGTTCAGGTATTCATCTTTAAAATGATTAAACAAAAGTGCAGTCAGGAGAACAGAGATTTTCTCTATCTGATGAAAAATGGATCCGATTTTCTGGTGCTCAGAGAAAAACATGACAGGTAGTGCTTCAGGTTTTTTAAATAAAAGGTCAAAATCAAATAAGGTTTATATTTAGCTTCCTGTAACAAAATAAAATATGACATAAATAATTGTAATTCTCTCACCTGGTGGCCTCCATGACAACTTCTGCATGATCCAGAAAAACAGAACAGTTGAATTCAAACTCCAGTTGGAAAGTTACCTGGACAAAAAGTAAGTAAAACGTCTGAGACATTTCTGACAGTCCAAATCGCAGAGCAAACAAATCCAGTCAATGTTCTCTCATCTTGAGATTACTTTTCAGCCATTTTAAGACTTATAAAGCTGAACACTGGTATAGTAGTAGCCAAAAACAAGTTTTAACAAATTCTGAATGCTAAATAAAAATACAAGATGGCCACTAGAGGTAATTTGAAAGTGCAATAACTGTGCCATTAACATTTTTGGATAAAATTTGGTGTGGTGGTAGCCAAGTCTAAGTTGAGCTTACTTAAAAAAATCTAAGAAACCGATTGCCTTGAAAAATGTAAGTAAACATAATTATTAGTCTTACGTTTTGTTTACTTAAGATAAACTTGTTCAGTGTCCTTTATACTTTGTTGTGTGAACTTATTTTTGTGAATTGAATTCAGCTTAGTTGTTAAGTTGGTTTAGCTTAGAAAAAACAAGTAAATGAAACTGTCCTTAACTTAGCTACATCAAGTTAGTCCAACTTACACAAACAAGTTCAGTTTACTTAACAGAATCTAGGAAACCCATTGCCTTGAAAAATGTAAGAAAGTACAGCTATTAGTTTTACGTTTTGTTACCTTAAGATATACTTGTTCAGTGTTGTTTGAACTTTGTTGTATGAACTTATTTTTTGTTAAAGTAATTTAAATTAGTTTTTGAAGTTGTTTTAACTTAGACATAGCAAGAAAATTAATCTGTTCTTATAGTTTTATCAAGTTAGTCTGACTCACATGAACAGTTCAGTTTACTTAACAGAATGTATACTGATTGCCTTGAAAAATGTAAGTACAACTATTAGTTTTACGTTTTGTTTACTTAAGGTATAGTTGTTCAGTGAAGTTAAGATTTTGTTGTATGACCTTATTTTTATGAAGTTGTTTCAGCTTTGACATGGCAATCAAATTAACCTGTTCTTAACTTAGCTATATCAAGTTAGTCTGATTTATGCAAACAGTACAGTTTACGTAGAATAATCTAGGAAACCGTTGCCTCAAATGAGTAAAGTAACAACAACAAAAGATGTTCACAAGGTTCAATGTTTTTTTTATCCTAAGCACTTTAACAAAAGATCAATGTGGCCAGTGAAACACATGAAATACAAAACTAATCAGGTTTTTACACTGAAGACAAATCAAAAATCCAAGATGTCCGATTGTTCAGAGTTTTGTATGTTAGAAATAAGATTTTAAATTCCTCATCAAGTAAAACTCAAAGGAAGATGTTTTTTTTTGTCTCAGACCCACCTGGGACAAGGACTTCATGAATGGAGCACTGATGCTGCAGCTCCTATGAGGAGCAGTCCTGTTCTCAGTGGAGCACTCAATCTGGACCTCTGATTGGTCCTGGAAGAGGAGATGAATGATCCAGTTACTTTATGATAAATATACAGTTGAAGTCAATCTAAAGAGTTTTGTTTTCAATGTCAGACAGACTGTTTAGCCTTTTTTAATAACTTTTACTTTACTTTTTTACAGTTGTTATTAACTTTTTGTTGTTTTTATGAATGAAATGAATGAATAAACAAACAATGCGCAAGTCCGTCCCATTTGTGACAGTTTTGTAGTTTCCAGGAGCAGGAATGCCACAGTTCATTCCATCCAAGTCATCTTGTCTTCAGTATCGCCCACTATTTCCTCCATGTGAACTACCTTCTGCTCCAATTAACGACACTGCCCACTCCATAAGCTCCTTTATGCTTTTAAGCCTAACCAGTTCCCTCTTATCCACCACTTTAGCGTGTCCCCGCAGCCCGTTAAGTATGATGCCGGTTTTTATTTTTATGACTTTAAGCATTCCTCTTCATGGTCCTTCACCTTTGGTGATCTTGTACTTTTTTCTTTTGTGCCTTTTTCTTCTGTACTCTTCCCTAATATAACCATGTTTTAATGAGTAATTTCAATCAGTGTAAGAGCAAAATTTCCCTACATTCTGCAGTTTTTACCTTATTTTATTGCTAGTTTTAGGGTTCTTCAGAGCAACTTCCTTTTTACCATCTACATCATGACGCCGCCATAAGTCCTGTTTTGCTTTTTAACAATAAAAACTGTGGTTAGCGTGAATGAGAGCAGCTTTGTTAGAAATGTAATTATTATCTTCTCAAATGAGCTCATGTTGGAGCTGCAGAGTTGTTATCAGACAGTTGGGATCGACTGATGCTGCCTTTCTGCTCAAATAGTCTGTGTTGTTTAAAAGGATCTACGATTAGTTGTAACATCAAACTTTATATGATAAACATTTATTTTAACTGTAAAATAAAGACTGTAAAAATACTGTAGGCTGTTTAGTTTTTATAATTTTAAAAATATATATTTTAACACGGATGGAGCCATTTTATTTACACACAAAGCATTCTGGGTAAATGATGACATCTACTAGGTCATTGGTGCGAGGCTGCTAGCGAGCTATATCCACCCTGAAGGTTAATCTTGGACAATATCTGATGATCGACTCTTTTAAATGAAACCAGAGAGCGTTGACAGAGAGGAGAAGGTAGAAATGACTCAGCCTGGAACTGAAAATATGGATGGAGGACAACAGAGCTGCTTCATGGAAGAAGAACCTCAGCTTAGCTTGTTAGCCTTTGCGCTAGCCCTCACGCTATATTGCCTTATATGAATTAGCTCGGCGCTGGCGCGACAAACAAGCTAAACTGTTGTCCTCCATCCATATTTTCAGTTACAGGCTGAGTCATTTCTACCTTCTCCTCTCTGTCAACGCTCTCTGGTTTCATTTAAAAGAGTCGATCATCAGATATTGTCCAAGATTAACCTTCAGGGTGGATATAGCTCGCTAGCAGCCTCATGCCGATGACATAGTTGATGTCATCATTTACCCAGAATGCTTTGGGTGTAAATAAAATGGCCCCGTCCGTGCAATATATTTTTAAACTTTTAGTTTAAAAATGATAAAAACTGAACATCCTGCAGTATTTTTACAATCTTTATTTTATGGTTAAAGTATATGTTTATCATATGAAGTCTAATGTTACAACTAATCGGGGATCCCTTTAAAGAAGGTTTCCTGGACTCCCCACAATGGGGATCAGATTTTTGTCCCCATAAGAAACGATGGGTCCTCACAAGGCTGTGTGTACTGGGAGAGTTGTCAAAAATCGTCCCCACCAGGTAACAAAAACATGTACACAGACACACACATATATAAGACAAACAAATGCAAAGGTTGTTTTAGAACAAAAACAAAGAGTGATGGTGTTTGTAAGAACGTTTCAGGAGGAAAACAACCGACCTGTAGATCATCTGCACTTTGGCACTGATTCCACATACTGTATATCTGTTGTTGTTTTACAGGTGAATATGGACTTATTGTGATGATTTATTTGGTATATTCTGTATTGTGTGATGAATGAACTCATGCGATGTTTTGTATATGTGTGAATAAAAACTAAATGAGTTAAACCAGGTTAAATTACGTCTAAGTACCTTTACTAAGAGGCTGGAGAAGAGCAGGTTGGCAGAGGTGGAAATGTGGATGGCAGCTCTGTAGGCGTTCTCTCCCTGGTTCTCCAGACGAGCAAACACCGTCACCCTCCTTCGTCCAGGCTCCACAACGAACAGCCGCTCTCTGTCCTCTGCCTGCTGGCTGCAGAGGGACACGGCAGCCAGGTCCCTGCGGCTGCACAGCTCCCTGCAGGTGCAACAAATGAATAAGGACTTTTTAGACCTCTGTACTGATGTGTGGAACAGACCAGAGCACTCTGTCTGCAGCAAATAAAGCCACTAATGTCTGCTTAAGTAATGAAAAAAAGAAACTGTTATTTCTTTATCTAACACTGAACCTCTAAGGCATGACAGCAGTTTTAGGCCCTAAAATTGGGCGGGGCCATTTGAAGGAGCAGGAAGTGGGCCGATGTTGGTAACTCACTGAACGCTCGGCAGGTCAGTGTGACTGTGGAGGATGAGGTCAGGAACACAGGTGTGCTCTTGTTCACATCCATTCCAGAAATGAAGCTGTGGGTGGAAACATGTTTTTTTTTATTTATATAAAGATGCTTCAGTGTGGATTTTAGAACAACACATGAATTTTAATTGAACTGAATCGAAAGGTAAACAGAGAAACTTAACATCTTATATTTCAGCCGCAGTTTCAAAACAGAAACTTTTTTTTATTGTCTAAATTGTAAAGTTTCTAAAAATGTGTTGTTTTATTTTTCTAAAATATCCAAGTCAAAGTGTCACTCAAATTATCATTCTAAGATCACAAACCTTTTCCAAACGAAACCTCACCTCAGTTCTCAAGGTGTTTGCTGAGTCTGGATCCATCACCGGCCCCTCATCCTGACTCTGCAGACCTGTTTCCACAACAACCACTACAGGACGCCCATAATCTGGTGTTTCCTGTTTTAGTCAATCAGTTGTGTTACCCAATGAAAAAAAAAAAAAAAAACAGCTCAGTGCTTTAGTTAAATTTTCTTCTGACCTGGACGAAAAAACCAAGTCGTTGACATTTCTGACTCCCAGTCTGCAGAAAAAGATTTCTGGGCTGCTGTCGGTGGGCTTCATCCAGAATGGCTCGGGGCGGGAACCTCCTCTCATCAAGTTTCAGGCTGTACCAAATCCCTGGAGAAGGAGGAGGAAGAAGATGAGGCGGGCAGATGTTGCTGAAATGAGAAAATATAAAATGTGTCCTGACGAGGTGTTGGTCAATGTGGTGCTCCGTCACCCACCCACTTGTGTTTTTGTCTTCGCCTTGGGTTTGACCCTGCTGTGCAGACTCAAACAGACGGTCACAGACATGCAGGTCACACCCTTCCCTCCTCGCTGACAGTCCTTGTTAAAGATGTTGATCCTCTCAGGTTCAAAGGTCAGTCTGGTCTGGATCTCCACCACAGCCCGAGACCTGGACAAGTGCGATCCATGAGAAAATCAAGTAACACCAAATTATTCATTCCATGTTTTCTCTTGGAAAGAAAGCAGAGTTGAGGTTTTCTTTGACCACAAACAGCTGCTTCCACAGCTCTGCAGAGAGCAGACTGCTCATGTGAGACTCTGTGTTTTAGATTTTCTTTTGTTTCTGCTCCTCCCACACATTGTTGGTCTGTCTGACAGATGGGTTTATTGTTGTCTCTAGATATTGTATGTCTGTGTCAGTTTGTTGGCTCCTTGCCACATGTCCTGGTAGTTCCTTGTAGAAAGTAAGTTTGCTGCCACCTCAACCTCAGCACTTTGTTGAGCTCCTTGTCCAAACCCAAACCAAGCGTGAACAACTAGACTTTCCCCACTTTCGAAAAGATAATGCTCAAGGGGAACACTGGCACACAAGCTATACTGTATACAGGAAGGTTCATTAAATTACATAGGTGACTCAGAACATTTTGAGACCAATGTCTACTGGTTTTACCAAATAATGACAGCAGCTCCCAGTGCTCCTACCGCAAGATCAACAAGCCCGTCTGCATTGATGTCCAGAACCCCGTGAAGACTTTGACCGAAATACTGCAGACCTGTAGACAAACCAGCTGCAGACAGACGCTGGAGACACAAGAGGGTCAGTGGTATCACCAAGGAGAAACATTAATACTGATTTCTAGTTTAAGTTGTTTCACAACAAAATCACCTGCAGAGAAAAACAAACAGGCCTGATAAGGAGTTACAGTAGTCCAGCCTAGACATGATAAATGCATGGATCAGTTTTTCTGCATCAGTTTTGGACAAGATGATTCTAATTTTAGAAGTGTTGTATAAAGTACCACAAAGTGATACTTGAGTAAAAGTACAAGCATCTTACCAAAAAATTACTTTGGTAAAAGTTAAAGTCTATTGATTTAAAATGAGCAGTTAGATTTTCCCTAAAGACTATATATATATATATATATATATATGTCGCCACATGCATCCTCGTATTAGGCTACATATGTCTGCTATGTCTTGCAGGAGTGTGACATGATTTGT